TCTACACTTTAAGGCTTATCTTGCAAAATTTTTTGTCCATTTTTCTTGCAATAGTGAACAAACTCGTACGCGTGTTGACTATCGCCACTTTCACACGCTCTCGAACAGGGTCAACCGTGCGTTGGACAAAGTCCAACGAGGGTCGTATTTGGGGTGGAAAAAAAGGGGGTCGTATTTCGCGAGGTAGCGTTAATGTTACAGTAAGGGAAGTGATGATGCAGTTGGTTGGCGCGCTAAAAATTTTGGCCCGTTTCACGGTGTTTAAATCCCCCCTCCCGCTCGCGCATTTTGGAGGAAAAAGTGGGCTTTGGGCTGTGTCGACTGGTCTCAGAATCGAATACTATAGAATGAGCCCCATGATGGCGATGACAGGCGAGGGTGGTGAAGGGTTGACCCTGAGGGGGGGTCGTATCGAGGCCCTCTAGAAGGGGAGGGGGTCGTAAAATTTTCGAAATCGGTCCAACGTGACGGTTTGACCCTGCTCTCGAATCGCTAAAATCGCTCAAATCGTTAAATTTGCTAGTGCAAATCGCCAGAATTGCAAAGTCAGGCATCTGCCTTAGTTTTTCACCGACACACTCGGTACCTCCACTTTCAAACTTCGCTAGTATCAAATTACCGCAACTGCTGCCTTTGATAAAAAATGTCTCGAAAAAACTCAAACTCAGAAAACTACCAGGACGCAATAGAAGGAGCTTGCGCCTCCTGTTCGGACTATTCAGAACCTATAGTAGTTACCCAGCTTGTTTTGTTTCTTTAGCAGGAAACTTTCTAGTCTACTCATTTTTCAGTGTTTTAGGCTAAAGTCAATAAGCATCAAATGAGATGGAATTTCTTCTTCTTCCCCTTCTTCTTCGATAATGATGAAAATAATTGGTCGACGCTAAGCGAAGCAGACTCACCCAAAAACAGCCCATTTTGACATATTTTTGCTCTGACACGCACATAAAAGCCTCCAGCCATGGCTCATCCCAAGCAAAGAATGCGTTGTACTCGTTGTACAGTGCAGTGGGCGATCGTCCCTCCCCACTGATAGAGGGTTTAGTTGCTCAAGCCCACGACATCTGAAGTAAATAGGAGCAGTTCTTGAGAAGAAATAAGTATTATAATATTTCAAGAAGATTAAAAAGGATCTTATTGCAATATTGTACATCTCGACTTCTGTAAGGAAAGCTGTCAGGCAATAGAGATTCGTTCTTTTCATCATTTTTTTTCAATATTTTTGTGACTTGCGTGGCCCGCCGGCGGACTACACTTTCACGCTCGTTTTGCTTAACTTATGAGTTGATTTTTCATGTTTTCAAACAGTTTATACACAGTGGCGAGCCCGCAATACAATTTGTTCATTAGCAGTAACGAAATTCTTTGAAATTTAACGACAACTGACGAATAAATGTGTAAAAAGTTGTCGCACTTCCTGCACAACGGTGGTTTTCAATGAGTTAAGATACTCTTGACTCTCCGCCACATCAATGCCACGTCAAATTCTGCAATTGCACTGCGCCTGGGTAGGGGAAATAAACTATTTATTCATCTGGAGGAGTCACCGTGAAAAGTAAGATGACTCATCTCCCCTCTTCTCCGAATTCCCCTTCCAAGCACAGGTGTGAAATAACGCTTTCCAAGCAGGGTGAATATTGCTTGAGGATTCCTCAACGGCACGTCGAGGATTTTCGCCCTGTCCTTTACGTCTCTCGCGCGCGGATATTCACTCTCGCCACCCGCGAGCCGTCTGTGCTCTCCGCGCGTACATTCACTCTCGGCACTACGTAAGCAAGCGAGCCCTTTTGGCGTTTCTGCTGGGGCCGTATGCTGAATGTTGGGGAGGGGATGAGGTTTCCGACGGTCGACAGACCACTTCAACTTGGTCCTTAACTCAATTTGATGCTTATCTCAGGTCTAAACTGAAGGAGAGGACGGACCCTGCGGCGCTCAGCCACTCTCCAAGGCTTAGTCCTGGAGGTAAGCAAACCAGCCCTTTTGGCGGAGCTGCTGGACCTAGCTGCACCACTTCGTCACCACTCTCCTACCGTACCGACCGAGTTGAAGTAGTCCGTCGACCTCGGGAACCCCATCCCCTCCCCAACATTCAGCATACGGTCCCAGCAGAAACGCCAAAAGGGCTGGTTTGCTTACCTCTCTCGACACTACTCTCGTATAGTAGAGTGCCATAGTCGAGGAATTCCTTGACCGTTATTCACCTTGCTCCCAAGTGATATTAACGACACCCATTTCCACAGTTGAAATTCCAACTACCTCCGCCTCAGGTCGTACCCAGGTTGGAAATCGGTCGAGGATTTGCCAAGATTCGCCGCAGAGATTTCGGGTGTCCCCCAACAGGCCCACCGCGCGGCGAAGCAAGAGACGCAGATGCGGCAAAGAGACGAGTTGCAGCGCGTGCTGTGCGATATGAGACGTAGTATGGTACACTCTCTTTAACCTGGGGCCGTAAGGTATGCTTCCCCGAAGGGTTAGGGGACGAAAATCCCTTTAAATTTTCTCTGTCGTCCCAACTGGGATTGTCCTGATAAAGGGCCTACATTTAATATATGTGTGTTGCTTAAAGTAAACATGCATTGAGAATAAAGAAACAGTGTCGTTCAAAACAAAAAATTTAAAGGGACTTTCGTCCCCGCAAGCATTCGGGGAAGCATACCTTACGGCCCCTGACGCCTAACCGCTACAGTGTGCGCTGCGATTCGTCCCTTTGCCGCGTCTGCGTCTCTCGCTGCGCGGTGGGCCTGTTGGGGGACACCCCGAAGATTTCGCCTATTCAGTTACACTCTCCTGTGCGTACATTCACTCCTGTCACGCGCAAACCGTCTGTGCTCTTCGCGTTCACGTCACTCTCAATACTTTTCCCCCACAGTGCGTAGCCGTAGTCGGGATTTCCTCGACCCACTATCTTTTATATACTTGATTATTTATTTGTATTTATTATTTATTTCTTTATTTATTTATTTATTTTATTTATTATTTATTTATTTACACACCCTGAATTGAGTGCAGTCCATAGGGGAACCCAGACAGGTGGTAGAATGTAAAAGAATAACAAGTCAAGAAAATTGAGGCCGAAGCCAGCATCTTTCTTCCCATTCTCTTTCCTACCTTCAACCTGTATACCTGGTTTTCCCCTAAACATGCCCGTCGAACGGTCGGCATACGGTACAGCCAAAACGGGAGAAAATCCCTAAACTTCTGTAAAAATTTCAGAAGTTGTGAAATTTCATGAGAGTTCCACCAAATAAAGACTTTCAATTGAGGAAATTCGACGTTGAATGGTCCTGATGTTCCATGCAGCCGTTCCGTTCCTCTATAATTGTTTTCGGGCGGCCACACTTTCACGCGGAAGAGAGGTTTATAATGGGCCACTTTCCTGATCCCTTGCTCTCGACCCTTTCTTTGTTACACTACTAATTCGGCCATGGAAGTTTTGGGCCATTGAAAAGAGAAAAAAAGAAAATGCGGAATAGGCAAAGCTTTGGGGTGTTTATCACAAGTTTACTTTAAAGGGATGGCAAAAAAGCCCATATCAGCAAAGCTAACGTCGCGCAAAGTGAGGGAAGTGCGACGGCAATGTATGCTATACGAAGTTATTACGCCCCCCCCCCCAAAAAAAATAGGCAAAAAGAAGTCTCTGTTCATTGTCCTACTGTTGCCAACCGGCAGGTACGACTTACTGATCTGGGTTTGGGTTCCATGAGGTTCTGGAGTCTCTCGAGTTCAGTAGAGTCCAGAAAGAAGAACATTAGCTACTATCAGCCCACCCAATAAAGTCATCCTTCCAGTCATGTTGCCAGGAGCGCCGACTCCTGGCAACCTTCCGTGCAAGCAGAAACTGATCGTCTATGCATGGTTTGCGAGCGTCGCATTTATTGGCCAGGCAGGTTCTTGTAATGTCACTCGGGTAGAAGGCTACTGTGGAATTTAGTGACATTGCATATTGCATGTGCTTCTCAGTTTGCGGATGTATCACTCGACTGTAATTAGCAAACGATAGCGCTAGCGCTAAAAATAGGACGGAAACCCTCTTGTTGGCCACCCCTCTACATCCTGACACAATTCTTTGGAACGGCTATGCATGCACGGCCTATATTGATATGCGCCTAGCCGTGACGGCTCTTTTCAAGCAGCTGCTAATTTGTCGATGTCCGCTGGTGTTTTTGCAGTGAAGAACAGAGACGACTATTATGTTCACATTCAAAGGACCCATTAACATCGACGACACAATTAGCCGTAAAACACTCCCATCACGGTAAAACAGATGCTCAGCCCTTAACGAAAGATGTGCGAAAGAAAAAGCAACACTTTTCAAACAGTAAAATGCGACCTTTTTTAGCTTACGATTCTCTAAAAATCCTACTTACATTTAATTACGCGAGAGGCAAAAACTCAAATGGGACCACTGAGGTCACCAAAAATGGAACGGCCCATCCCGCTGGCTACGCGACGGAGGCCGCCGCGCGGTGAGAAGCATGCGATCGGCGATGAGGCAGCGCGCCGCTATGTGATGTGGGCCACTGTGGCACGTTGCACTTAACTTGGCGCGAAATCACTGCAACTCGTCCGCTGACCCGTCTGCGTCTCTGGCCTTCTCGCCGCGCGACGAGCTTCTGCTCTGGTAGTCCTACTTTTAATGTCCCCGACCTTGAATCAGCTCTACGGGTGTAAATAATGCGATACCAACCGCTTATTGATTTGAAAACTGACCTAATCGAATATATCGAAAAGCATCTTAGCTGGCTAGTATTTGCCAGAAATAGGTGCCGCCAGTTAAGTAGACTTTTCATCTCAACACCACACTCATTTGAAGCTTGATCATCCGCTTTATCATACTCATCGGGAAGCTCGCGAAGGAATAAATAGCAGCAGATATAGAACATATAAAAATCACAAATAGAAAGTGCAGTGAGAACAGCTTTCGAGAGAGACTTATACAATGTGCGCAGTACGATAGCTGCTAGAAATGAGATGCATAGTGAATTAGGCAATTGCTTTTTTTACTCTTCTGCGTAGGTGTCGTTCTCAACGGCTCCTTCCGCTTCACCGTCGTCATCGGCAGTTGCCTCTTGATATTGTTGATACTCGGACACAAGATCGTTCATGTTGGATTCGGCTTCAGTGAATTCCATCTCGTCCATACCCTCACCAGTGTACCAATGCAAGAAGGCTTTGCGACGGAACATAGCTAAAGAAATTTGCGTATGGAATACAGCTGAGTTTCGCTCCGCTCCCACCAAACTCCACACGTCGGCGAAAAGAAAAATGTTCTACCACAGTGCACCGTAATGTTTTCTTGAGATACCGCTTTTAGTTATGAGTTGTGTGATGTAGTGTGAGTTCTCCGTATGAGAACCTATTTGGTCCAAGACAGCAAAGCTGTGGGTCAGGCTGCAATGAGCATTTCTCAGACCTCGGGGTGGAATGTCGCACACAGCTGTCTTCACATTGTTAGGAATCCACTCCACGAAATAGGATGAGTTCTTGTTTTGTACAGACATCATTTGGTCATCGACCTCCTAAACTAACTGCTCTTCATCCAGTACAGCAAACAAAATCAAAAATATTTTTTATCTTAAATTCCAGGGCATTCAAAGGATGGAAAAACTGCGCTGAACACACAATTCAATGACATTTTAGGTCATTACGATTTCACAGAGAAGCGCGCGCGGGGCATCACAAAAAAGGCAAAATCCAACCAAGCGCTAAATGTCTTTTGCAAAGATGAAACAAATTCAACTCACGCGCATACTCATACGTCCACGGAACATAGCAGCGACCGTCAGGTAACGTCCATGTCGTGGATCACAAGCAGCCATCATGTTCTTGGCGTCAAACATCTGAAGGAATCATGTGCAAATGAAAGGATTTTGACCTCACCTGTTGTGTGAGCTCAGACACGGTAAGTGCACGGTATGCTTGAGCTCCCTTTGCTGACAATGGCGCAAATCCAGGCATGAAGAAATGCAAGCGAGGGAAGGGTACCATGTTGACGGCCAATTTGCGAAGATCAGCATTTAGTTGGCCAGGGAATCGCAAGCACGTTGTTACTCCAGACATTGTTACGGATACTGAAAACGAGGTTAAGACAGCTTTTCAGACGAGTCAATCATAAAGCGCAACTCATTACAGCTCTCTGTCCAATCGAATAGGTACTCTTCCCACAGTAGCCAAATACACATTTCCTATCCACAAATGAACGCTTTTTCAAACACGAAAACCTACCTAAACACCCTTTCACCTGCCAACCAAAGTATGTGCTTTCATTTCCCTGATTATCTCACAATGGTACGAATAGTTTAGCCGTTGCCGTCGTACATATCGGCTTTACGTCGCATCACACAAGCGGCGATAGAAATTTCATCGGCGTCAGTCGTAATGCCTGCCCTTGAGGATAATGCCAACATAAAAGGACGAGCAGAAATCGATACGCTAACACTGGACGCTCCTATCTCTGCAAACCTCTTCCAACGATTGTCTCATTAAATTGGGAATACCAATCGGACAAGGCCCACAAGCACGCCTCCAAATTGAGTGGCCAGCTTTGGAATGAACTCAGGAGGTCATTAGGTTTCCATTACCACAACAGCCAGGGTAGCTGGATAATTGAGACATAGTTCATTAACTAGATGTAACCCTATCAATCAATCATTAGGATAACGTTTATGTTTGGTCAAATAGCCCATTTGGTGAACCTTTCACTAAACCGACTACTAAGCCAAACTAGTAAGGCAAGTGGTGCATACCTCCCAGGACACCTTCACCTGTCCATAGTTGCACCGGAATACCAGGCAACGTCGTGTAAAAGCTAATTGCCAAAGCTAAACATCCCCTCTGACACGGGATTCCCGCAATGGCCACTCCGCGCACGGGCTCATTTCACTCTCATCAACGGCCATTGCGAAATTTCGCCTCTCGACCATGAGTCATTGCAGAGTTCAGAGCAGCATACTTGGCAATGGGTAATGCATTCGACTTCAATACCGCTCTCTCATTTCAACAACCCTGATTCAGTGATCATACAAAACAGGAAGCAAATTCGACGAACAGATGGTTTGAGGTCTGTCCAGGATAGGGTTGGGGAGCTTGAGCCCGTTCGGAAGCAATGTCGTAGAGTGAGTCGTCTGTCATATGCAGATGTTTGTCCGTGTTCTCACCAGTTGGTTTGACCGAAAGAAGGTGGCATGTAAGCTCAAACACGTATCTGGAAAGCGCTAACAAATGGTATATGAATCCAACATTCGTACAAAGAGAGTATCATGTAGATTTCCAATTTCATTGGCTTCTATTATTATGCTAAGTGACTAAGTAATAATATTCCGAACTAAATTGAAGAGATGCAACTTATTTATCGGAAGATGATGGCCATGAAATGGACTTTAATCGTTTGATTGCGATCACTCACTTTGTGTGAAGGCACAAACGAGGAAGATAGTTCCTGCTCAGGGTATTTTCCGGATCTTAGCAATCAACAAGTCCGATTACGTGACCAGTGCCTCTCAAGCGAGCTGTGTAGTTGGAAACCTCGGAAAAGAGTAATCATACAAACTGAATTAGTGCCAGTTCAATGCTAACATAAGTCAATTCACAATTGGCAGACAGTCGCATCCTCGCCTTGGCTTGCGACTTACATCAGGACGCTATCACAAGCTCGGCTCCTTCTGTATAGTGACTTTGGCCAATTATTGTTCCGGCTGGACTGTCGAAGACAAGTTGTCGAGCGAAACAGAGCCACCCGAATGCGTCCGGAGTGCGGTACTGAGTCCATGTTCCCAGGTTCCAAATCAAAAGTAAGCTAAGTGGAACATACTTCCCTCCTGAAACAAATAATTAAAGAAAGGCTGCTAATAACCAACTTCCGCTGGAACTGACCATTAGCCTCATTGTAGTAAACATTGATTCGCTCTAGTTGGAGATCGCTCTCCCCTTTGTATGATCCATCGGGCTGGATGCCATGCTCGTCAGAGATGACCTCCCAGAACTGAAATACGCATGATCAAGGTGAAAAAACTTGGGCTAATTATCCACTCTACTAACTTCGCGTGGGAATTGATAACGACGTTCATGCAAATTCCAATACTTTAAAAAGCCGCGACTAAGCAAGGCCTCAGATTCATAAAATTGTTTTTGAAAAACTGCTGTAAGTTCGAATTAGTGACGAACTTTTGACGGTGGGAGGACCCCCGCATCAAATGAAGACAGCCAAGTTGCTTCTCAAAATTCAATTTCTGAGCCGTAACAAATAGCCAGAGAACTCAAGCAAAACCTTTGAGTTCACACAACCGGAGCCAATTTCTATGATCTTAAATGGATCCATTTAATTGAAAAAATAGCTCGACCATATTTCCATATAGGTGCGCAAAACATGCAATACATCAAATGAAAGTTTCTGAATGGTTTGTTTCTGAGCAGGAGTACATAGAGAACAAATATTTGTAAAACGGACGTAGATATGTTATTGCAAAACAATTGCACCACTCCAACTGCTACATACACGTTCCTCATTCTGACAGCTCCTAAACAAAAACGGGGCTGTACTTAGCGAGGGGAAAGGAATGCACCATGACGTGATAGTTCCTTGGGCAACAAATCCCACTTCTAGCAAAGTGAGGAAGCTCCTAGGTGAAGGAACCAGTTCGCCAATGCATGAAGGGAAGTAAAAGAGTTGAAAATGAAAATATGTGGCATGATGTTCAACGCGCTGGGTATTCCGCATCGGGAAACCCTCTCCCCGCTCCCCTGGCACCTCTCCAACTACAGTTAAGCCACCGAATGTTATTGGAGCTCATCCATTTATTCCATCTAGTTTCTATTACCAATTACTTATGCATGCTCGCAACCTTCTTCTTCCGGACTTCCCATAGAATCGACGTAGATTGAATGGAGTCTCAGCGAGTGTTCAAAAACGCAAAGATCTTTGGTGTAAAGATTGTGAAACAAGCATTGATACGTTGCTGTAGTGGAGGTACATCCAGCCCCATTATTTTGATGAGCGCAGCTCATGCAAATGTGCAGTGACATCTACGCCCACTTATTCATTCTCTCTATCAAGCAAGAGCTACTCTCTTAGCAAAAAGTGGAGTAAAATCGGGACAGGCACGCAATGCTTGAGTTGCTCGGAGTCTAATGATAGACTTATATCTTTTAGTGGTTATTCTAACCCATCAGATCCGTTCCAAGGTGTCCCAAGGAGTTTTCAAACACTAGCAAAGTGATAAAGAAGCCGACGCGTGCAACTAAATTCAGTGCCAGTAAAGGAACAATGAATCAGGGCCAACTGCAACGTTGTGCTGATTCAAGATTTTTCAGTTCTCTGGAAGATATTTCCACACGACCATCAGCCCCGGAAGGGAATCCCGCACGACTTCCCGGAAAGGGTATACATGGACATGTGTAAATGGCAAACGCTCTTACTACGCCTAACCCTTACATTTTTTCTTGGAAAACCTGAGAGACCATAGACCATGCGAATGAGCCTCCACAAGGGAAAGCGGGGGAGTAAGGCCACGGACCACTAAGTCTAATGGAGGGGAGAAACGAAATCGGGAAGAATCAGAATTGCTGACGCACCTCGAAATAGGTTGACGGACTACTTGAACTCAGCCCTTTACCGCCTCTGCGCTCTCTAGCGGGTCCCTCTCCTCTCCAAGGCTTAGTCCTAGGGCATTCTCTAATCGTCTGTGCTCTAGCCATCGCGGCAGGACCATTGAGGAAAATCAATGGAGGGGAGAGACGAAATGGGGCAGGAATCAGAACTGTTGACGCACCTCGAAATACCCCATCTCCTCTGCGGCTTTCTCCTGAGACTGAGTTTCCGCGAATCTGACGCAGTGTTACGGTCTTCCCCCGGCCCACAATGCGCTAGAAACGACCTCCCTATCCCCTCCCTACAACAAGAGCTGTCAACTTCCACCACCACGGCCCCGAACATTACCACCATCACAACATTTGAAAAAAAAAACTTTAAATATGATCAGCTATTCAAACATTCCAAATACGGAGTTCATTCGTTGATCTTTAAACAACGGGCTGTTGACCCTGCGATGTTTCTCTGGGGGAGAGGAGGCAAATTTTACTAGAGAACATTACCAACGACAACAAAACTCCACTCACCTTAGCACCGATCTGATTTCCGCATTGTCCGGCCTGAACATGGACGATCTCACGCATTCTTTGGATGGATTGATGTGATTGTGGAGAAGGCTGAAACGAAGGACGATTGGAATCGGCAGCTCACACGGACGGACAGCGAACCGCGAAACGAAAGCGAATTGAACGGGAAGTGGCCATCGCCTCAAACCAATCACAGAATGAAGGGGGTGGGACTTCAGGGCAACTGCCAATCAAACACGAGGGGCTGGACAGTTCCCGCCCATATTTCGCAAGGGGCGCGAAATTCGAAATCGCGCTTTCGCACTGCGGCCTCCGCCCGGCGCACAGTGTCTCGCAAAGGTGGTGCCGCTTCCCGCGCTGGCCTGTCGCTCGTCATTTCGTATCGGACGGAGCCTCAACGAATGTTTTTAGGAGGTGGGAGCTTAGGCGATGACGGGAACCAACGTACCTTGGGATTTTGCATTTTCACATATCAGCTCGGGCGCAATGAGACTCCGGGGGGGTGGCAGTCTGTCGCAACGCCACTAGGACTAAGCCTAACGCAGAGGGACGAATTCCGGAGCGAATGAGAACTGCTTACGCACGCTGGATTTCCTCTTCCCTCCAAAGCCTAGTCCTGAACTTAGC